ATACGGGCCTGTCTGAAAAAACACACCCCTTTCAATAAATAAGCCTCATGAAAAACTTAATGGGCCATCAGATTTTGATGGTCCATTTTTAAGCAGTACACCCCTCTTATGAATATATACCCCTAAGAAATAATGTGATTATAAATTAGTAACTTGGTAGTATCGAAATTTTAGATAAAATGAACATTTGAAATTGATGGGGAAAATTTGAGGTATGACTGCTGCCCCTATTTAATTACATTTCGATTGAAGGTGCAAGAATAAGTAGGTCTCGCACGTTCGAATCAAAGGTTTATTAAATAATATAAGACCTCACAATTTGTGTAAAATATAATAAGGATACGACATACATCATTCCCAAGAGTACGAAGAATATTCATAAATGATTAGTGTTATCCTACCAGAGTTTGAACAAAGAAATTAGTTTCGACCTAGACACGGTGACGCGGATAACTCGTCGATACCTAAAAGAGATTGTAGATTTTTTGCGTATTTACCATAACCTAGGAGGTAAATAACACGAGTTTAAAAAATAACTTTGTAATGCTTCGAGACTAAGATAGTAAGCTTAGAACGTAGATTTTTTCTATTCATCACAACCTAGGGGATAAATAAAACAAAGCTCGATAATACATTGCCGCATAGAGATTAACACAATGGATGATACCGAAGATTTTGTTATGTTTACTACAACCTAGAGAGTAAACAATGCGAGGATGAACATGTACATTTATCACGACCTAGAGGATAAATGACACAAGGATAGGCTTATGTATCCATCCTGACCTAGAGGATGAATAATATAACCCTGAAAATCCGCATACCTATCACAACCTTATGATATATAATTTCAAAGTTTGTGTGTTTATCACGGCCTAGAGGATAAACGACACAAGTATAGATATATGTATTCATTATGAGCTAGAGAATGAATAATATAAACCTGATAATTCACATACCTACCACAAGCTAGGGGATATATAATTGAAGAGTTTGTGAGTTTATCACGACCTAGAACATAAATGACAAGAAGATAGACTTATGTATTCATTACGACTTAAAGAATGAATAACATAAACCCGATAATTCACACACTTACCACAACCTAGGGGGTAGGTGATTGAAAAATTTGTGTGTTTATCACGACCTAGAGGATAAACGACACGGGGGTAGTCTTACGTACTTATCACGACCTAGAGGATAAATAAAGTAATCCTTAAAATTCACATACCTACCATAACCTAGAGGATATATATTTGAAGAGTGTTTTGGTACTCAAATCTTAGATAACTAGATCAAAGTTAAAATCAGAGTTCACCTGTTGTGTCCATTCTCAACCGAAGTATTCATTTGTTTTGTGGACCAGATAATCCAATGATAGGCCCCAAGAAAGTTTGTGGTTTAACCAAAAATGAATTTGGAAAATTCCATGTACTATGTAAATGCATAATGTCTTAGATTGATATGGAACCCCAAGTGTATATGCGCTGATTTTTTTCTGTATATGCCCCAAATGTATATGCACCAAATGATTGTATATGTACCAAGTGTTTGTATATGTTTTAATATTTTCGCCTTTTAAACCATTGGCTTTGTTTCACTGACTCCCCAATGTTGTATGATGCATTGTCATGGTATTTTGAGTTAATTTGAATAAGATGAATAAGTTTCAATAAGATTTTGATAATTGTATCGCAGGCGTAGGCATGGACGTAGTGGACACGGGCATGAATATGGTTATAGTCGTAGGCTTGGACATAGTCGTGAATTTTATTTCTATATTTTCTAACCAAAACGCTTTTTGATGTTCTATCAAATGCTTCTTTTTGTTTGTCGAATCCCCAAAATGATTTCAACAAAATATTTACAAGAAATAATCGTAGTATTTTGCAAACAAATCCAAAAAATAAAAACATAATTTAAAAAGATAGAAAAAGTAAATATTTTATTGATAAACATTCCTTTTAATAAGCCAAAGTACAAGATGTAATTCCTTGAAAGAGGTAACTAAAAAAAGTTTTTCATAACACTGAAAATGGCAATGAAAAATGATAATTGCTACTGTTGTTTCTCCAATGTCCTTTTGATAGCTCCAATCTCCTTTTCTTATAATTCGAATGATTTGTATTAATCCCTTTCATTCATAGTCATGGTCTTGGTTCTTAGATCGCAATCTTTTTGTTCTTTATTTCTGAGTAAGATCCCTATCTTTTTCCTGGATCGCCCTTTTGGGTTTTCAATCCACCGGAATAATTATTATTTTTTGTTTATGTCCCTAATTTTTCCTGGATCTCCCTTTAGGGTTTTCAATCCACTAGGATGCTCCTTTTTTCCTAAGCTTCCCGTTTAGGGTTCGAACTTAGCGAGCTTTTTATACATAAAATTTTTTGATTGCGTCTGAATTTGTCGGATGTGGCAGTTCTTCCCCATCCATTGTTGTGAGGATAATACCACCACCTGAGAATGTTGTTTTTACCACGTATAGACCTTTGTAGTTGGGTGTCCATTTACCACGTGAATCAAGGCGAGGTAGTATAACCTTTTTTAGCACCAAATCTCCTTCTTTGAACACTCGAGGGTGAACCTTTATGTCAAATTCTTTTTTCAACCTCTTTTGGTATAATTGACCGTGGAATAAAGCTGTCAAGCGTTTTTCTTCAATGAGGTTAAGCTGATCAAGTCACGTCTAGACCCACTATGATTCTTCAAGCTTTGTCTCCATTCGAACTCTTAGCGATGGAATCTCTACTTCAACAGGGAGTACTATCTCCATGCCATATACGAGAGAGAAAGGAGTTGCAGCTGTTGATGTATGTATGAAAGTACAATAGCCATATAGAGCGAAGGGAGGCATTTCATGCCAATCTTTGTATGTCTTCACCATTTTCTGAATGATTTTCTTGATGTTCTTATTGGCAACTTCAAAATCCCCGTTCATTTTGGGTCGATACGGTGAGGAATTATGATGCTCGATCTTGAAGTCATCACATAACTCCTTCATCATTTTGTTGTTCAAATTTGACACGTTATATGTAATGATTCTTCTAGGAACCCCATATCTGCATATAATATTTTTTTTATGAACCGAGTAACCACTTGTCTTGTCACATTTGCGTAGGATGCATCTTCCACCCATTTAGTGAAGTAGTCGATGGAGACTAGTATGCATTGGTTTCTGGTAGAGGCTTTCGGTTTGATCATTCCTATCATATCAATTCCACACATCAAAAATGGCCAAAGAGAACTTAAGACATTCAAAGGAGTCGGTGGCACATGCATTTTGTTGGTGTAGATTTGGAATTTGTGACATGTCTTTGTATAATGGTAGCAATCAACTTCCATCGTAAACCAATAATAGTATGAGTTCAAAAGGTTCCTTCATGAATTTCTCTCATAAGAGTATCTGATTCATGTTTCTCCATGCACCTGAGCAGCATCATATAGTAGTTTCTTTTGTATAATACATCACCATTCAAAAATATTTTTGAAGCTAGCTTCCACAGTGTTTGTTTGTCAATCACAAAGGCATTTTCTGGATATTCTTGTTTCTCAAGATACCTTTTGATGGCATAGAACCAAGGCTTGTTATTCAAACTTCTTCAATGGCAAGTCAATGTACAAGTTATTCAAAATGTCTAATTGTAATGTGTGGTTCCTGATTTGGCCAGGTGAACCTACCGGCAAAAAACATAGAGCCTCCATCGAACTTTATTTATCCCAAAGGAAGGGGAAATATCGAGAGAACCACAAGAAGATGGATAAGATGGTCTTGCAACCAAGAGAGAGGGTAAGAAAGTCGATTATGCAAGGGGATTGTATTAACACCCTTCTTATCCGTTGTACTCAACGAGATCCATTTTGTTTGTTTACTTCTAAGGGTATGTTTATCTATAACTATAATTTCTTAAGGGGAAGGAGATGGTTTTTTATTAGTGCGTTTGTGAGGGTCTCATAACCCTTTGCCTATGAATCCCGTGAAGGAATCAGAACACCGTAGTTCTTCTAGAAAATGTTGGTTTGTTCGTGTTTCCTAGTGGGCATCATTAATGCACACATTCTATCAATAGGCACAACATGTATCATGGTAGAACGGAGATAACATGTCCTTTTGAGGGAATTTTTGATTTGTTTAGTATGTTAATTGTGAAATGAGTTTGAATAATGATTAAGTGTTTTTGGGTTTTTTTTATTAAGAAAGGAAATTTTTATTTTAAATGAAGATAGAGTTTAAGAGGGAGACTAGAAAAATCGTAATTGTTGTCATGCGTGGGTTCTAACCTAAGTTCTAATTCGATGCAAAACGACTAATCATTTTGTAGAATCTCTTAAGGGAACCTAGCATCAATAATCGACCAAATAAAGAAACAAAATCTAATATTTTTTTCTTTAAAAAAACTTGCAAGGAAGAGAATTTTTTTTTAAACATTTAATAATTTATTAAAAAAAGGATAAAACAAACAAATAAGTATAAGGTTAAATAGACAAAAAAATGGAGAAGAAAGTGAAAAATTGTCCTGGTGGGTGTTGAACCCATGACTATTAGTTTTCACATACAAGGCTTTGACCGCTACACTACTTCACTTCATTCATTTATATACTACTCAAAAATTATAAAAAAACAAAACATAAAAAATGGGTTGGGCTAGGCCCAAACCCGGATCCATCTAAGAGAAAATATAGATGGATTTAGATCTTGGAATCCTAATTTTTGAAAGGGGGCGCCGCTTCCTAGTGACAGGGAAAGTTTAATTTCTTAAATTTCCCAATAACTTCACAGAGAAATATTATCCTCTTCCCTTAACCTCGGGATTTTCACAATTCTTCCTCTCTGCTTACCATTCTTTTCATCTTCCTTTCAGTCTCAATTGCCACAATTCCTCAAACCCTTTTCCGATTCAACTTCTCTGCCTCCCTCTCTCAATCGTTATCCTCATTATTCTTCCTTATCTAATATCACCCCTTAATCGCTCAAAAATGAATAATCCTAAAACTCTCTTGCTATGGATTCCCCCCAGCCAAAAACAACAACAACACTTTCGTATCATTCCCCTCTCACGGTCATACCAACAACAACAAAACTTCGTCTCTCGACCTCTGTTCAGGTTCGGTAATACTCCCTATGTCTTCCTCCGAAAAATCACCATCAAAAGCTTCTCTCAGTCCAAAACCTTCTTCCATCATCTCTCAAGCTTAATCTATGGGAAGCTTCTGTTTGTCTATTCCTTCAGACCCTCGTTGATGAACACACAACAATTGTGTAAGCTCTTTTAATTTCTCATGCTTCCGAATAATAACACAACTTCATTAAGTTATGAATCTATTTTTTTCAATGAACAAAAAATGACATTAACGTTATGACCCTTTTTTGTTTCGGTTCCAACCATAATAACATAGTTTTGTTTTTGGTTCCGTTTTAACTCACTAAAAAATGACTTGTTTCATAGTTTGAACAAAAATAAGAGCAAGCATACAAATGGTACCAACAAGGTACCATATTGGAGCCTCTCTGATGGGTTCTTTAAACTCCCAGGTACCGTGTACTCAATCCCTTCTTCTTTTCTTCAATTATGAAAATTCTACCATATGTTATAGTAACGCTCAGGCCCAAATATACAGGGGTGCAAAAATAAAAGCGTGTAGATCAATTACTCTCAAATAGAGGCTTGTCCGTTGCATTATTGATGCCCTTTCAAAGCAGGAAAACTCCACTGATGATGACTAGAAACTTCAAATGCTTCAAAGAATCTTGAAATTCTTCGACTGAAGAAATCATATTCAAGGAGATAATGAAGTTGTAGAGGTTGTGGGAGTTGTTATAAATGAACCTTGATTCATACAGTAGGATCTATCAAAGGTGGTGATGATGATACTGAAGAAAGTTCCAAAAGTAATTGATAAACAAATAAGATATGAAAGCTTCAAGTTAAAGGTGAGAGAGAGAGAGAGAATGTAGATCTAAGATGGAGATTGTTGATTGTGAAATTATTGCTCTATGTTTATGCATGTTTTGCATATGAAACTATGGAATGGAAAAAATTGGAGGAAGTTTTTTTTGACGCATTCCGGGATTTTCCTTTCTTATAATTTTCTTCCTCTTCTATCAATACGTTTTTTTCCTCTCTCGCGTGTATTTTCTGTGTGTATATCTGGTGATGTTTCTCTCGTAATCCTCTCATCCATCCCTCATACTGTTTTATATATGAATTTAAGGGACTTTTAGGGGGAAAAATAAGATGTCTTTGAACATATTTAGTTGGCTGTTTTGTAGATTTTCAACACAGTTTATATTTTTGCTAAGTTTGTGCAAATATTGGACTGATATGGTGCAGATTTGGCAGGGCAACTTTGTAGGTTTTTGTTGTCTTATGGGCTGGTTGGTGCAGATTTGGTAGGGCTGTTTTGTTTGTTTTGCAATGTGTTATAGGTTTTGATATGGAGCAGTATTGCAGGTTATTTTGACATGGTCTTGGGCTAGTAGCAGCAGGCTTGGACTGCAGGATTTGGACAACAACATTTTGGGCAACATTTTTAGCACAATTTTGGGACTTTAATGTAGCTTAGTGTTGTAGGGGCAGCATCATGATTTTGTTGTATTTGGAAGCAAGTTCTATTCTTGGAATTAAATGGATAGCAAGTTTTAGGCTACATTAAATATGTTCAAGACATTAGGATTAGGCTTAGAAACATGTAACCTTTCTTGTAGTTCTTTTAAATGTAAAAGGAAAAATTCATGTTATTGATGTAACTTGAAATTATCCCCTTGTAACTTGAATAAAGTGATGCCTTGTATGAGAAGTCTCTTCAAGCTTTTGAACTTTTGGATTCAAATCTTGGAATTTATTAGGGTAGAATCCTATGGAACGATTTCTTAAATGATGGATGAATTTGATGAACGTCTTTCCGTTGATAGCTTGAACTAATTCAACATGAATGAACCTTGAGTTTGTAAATCTCGAATTCTGGATAATCCTCTTATGTGATCTTTCATTCTCAACTTGAATCAAAATCTTGCACAAATTGAATGTTTAACCACTGGATGTCATTTGACTCAAATCCATTCAAATCTCTATGAACCAATTTCAAATTGAATTGTACCCCAAGAAACTTGATTCTAGTTTCACATGACAAACTTCAAATCCTTATTTTATAATTCTTCAAATTAATTTGCAAATTGAAGTGTCCATTATGTGATGAAAACAACCAAAAATTGCACCAATCATAATGAGTTGCAACTTATACTTCAATCTAACGTAGTGAACAATGCCTTTGAAGAACTTATTATGAGTTGAAAGTAGAATTTAATAATATTCTAAGTCAAAACATGACCTATGATATTTCAATAACTTTCAAGGTATTCTAAACATATTTTGTCCTTTGTCTTTTGAAGAAAATTCGTAGAAGACATCATCTATGACAATGTACAAAAAGAATCGTCCAAAAATGTAGAGACTCGAAAAAGTTATGATCATTGGAAGTTGGGCACAACTATTTTGAAATTAGGTCAAATTCCACTAAATGACCTCTAAAGTATTCGGACTTTTGATGATCCTTTGCACATAATCAGATCTTGACTGGTAAAGAGGACTTTAAGATGACGTCAAGGAGAGATATATTCAAAAAGAATCATTCAAAAACATTGAGTAATGAAGAAGTTATGATTGTTTAAACTTGATCTTGCAAAAAGTTGACTTTGGTCGAAGTGCTTTGAACTGACGTGCAAATATGATCTTCCCTTGCATTCTGAAGCATATTGATGCCCATGTGAACCAATGATGATGAATTTTTTACTGTGCTCTTGAGATTATAGGCCAAGATTTAATGAAGTATCCTTTGAGAATCAATAACTAGCTATACTGAACACTTGAAAGCATCAAACCCTAACTGAGGCATGATGCTAACAAACCGTGATTTTAATCACCCATAGGGAAATAAACTCTTATCCAAGATCTTGAGAAATTTGAATGAGAAATAGCCTCTATAGCTTGAGGAGAAGAAGTCCATGATAACCATATTTCAAAAACCCTTATTCACATAGTCCACTGCTCAAGAGAAGAGCCCGCCTTTATCTGCTGAAGAAAACTCAAACCATTGTGAAGCCCTAATTAGTACAACCACTGATGCTTTGAACCATTGCCTTATTGAAATGCAGAAATAATGTGTGAATAACCTAATGAGAATGATGCAAATGAAATGCAATTCCTAAGCCAGATAAAAGTGAAAATGGTAGGACACATTTTGGGTATGACAACTGCCCCTATTTAATCTTCTTAAACCTGAAAGTGATATTAGCGGCGGCCTTTCATTCATTTAAGGTAGAAGAAGATTAAATACCAAGACCTGAAAATTGTCCTGGAGAGATGGTGTGAGTGTTATTATTTATGATGTATGTTGGGGATGAAAAATGAATTTTCAAGTGAATTAGTCATGATGGATAAACGCGGTTAAAATAATGATAGCTTGTACTGGGTTAACGGTGCCAATACAAGGTTCTCGGGGATGTGGACGTTAAAGTGATATGGTGGATGATGTCGTGGTGACTGAAAGTAGGATTAATGATAACATGATAACTTAAATGTGATGGGTAGAACTCGAAGATAACGTAGAATTTGTCGTGTAGGATTCGCGACCCAAAAAGAAAGGTAAAGACAATGGGTGAATATCATCTTATGATTTATGACATAAGAAAAGATAACATGAGGGTAAGACTTGCATGCGACCTATGACCCTAGAAAAGATAACGTGAAGGTAAGACATACGTGCGACCTACGGCCCTAGAAAAGATAACATGGGGGTAAGACCTACGGGCGACAAACGACCTAAGAAAAGATAACATGAAGGTAAGACCTACGGGAGACCTATGACCCTAGAAAAGATAATGCGAGGGTAAGACATACGGATGAACTACGACCCAAGAAAAGATAACATAAGCGTAATACCTACGGGTGACCTACGACCCTATAAAAAATAACGTGAGGGTAAGACTAACGGGTAACCTATGACCCTAGAAAAGATAACGCTAGGGTAAGACCTACGGGCGACCTACGACCCTAGATACGATAACGTGAGGGTAAGACCTACGGGAGACTAATGACCTAAGAAAAGATAACGTGAGGGTAAGTCCTACGAGCGACCTACGACCCTAGGAAAGATAACATGAGGGTAAGACCTACGAGTGACCTACGATCAAAGAAAAGATAACATGAGGGTAAGACCAACGGGCGTCCTACGACCCAAGAAAAGACAACGTGAGGGAAATACCTACGAGCAACCTATTACCCTAGAAAACATAACATGAAGGTAAGACCTACGGGCAACCTAGGACCTTAGAAAACATAACATGAGGGTAAGACCTACGGGAGACCTACGACCCTAGAAAATATAACGTGAGGGTAAGACCTACGGGCGATTTACAACCCAAGAAAAGATAACATGAGGGTAAGACTTACGGGCGACCTACGACCCTAGAAAAGATAACGTGAGGGTAAGATCTACGGGCGACCTACGTCACAAGAAAAGATAACATGAGCGTAAGACCTACGAGTGACCTACGACACTATAAAAATAAAGTGAGGGTAAGACTAACGGGCAACCTATGACATTAGAAAAGATAACGCTAGGGTAAGATCTACGGGCGACCTACGACCCTAGATAAGATAACGTGAGGGTAAGACCTACGGGCGAACTATGACCTAAGAAAAGATAACGTGAGGGTAAGTCCTATGGGCGACCTACGAACCTAGGAAAGATAACATGAGGGTAAGACCTACGAGCGACCTACGACCAAAGAAAAGATAACATGTGGGTAAGACCAACGGGCGTCCTACGACCTAAGAAAAGATAACGTGAGGGCAAGACCTACGAGCAACCTATTACCCTAGAAAACATAACATGAAGGTAAGACCTACGGGCGACCTAGGACCTTAGAAAACATAACATGAGGGTAAGACCTACGGGAGACCTACGACCCTAGAAAATATAACGTGAGGGTAAGACCTACGGGAGACTTACGACCCAAGAAAAGATAACATGAGGGTAAGACCTACGGGCGACCTAGGACCCTAGAAAAGATAACGTGAGGGTAAGATCTACGGGCATCCTACGACACAAGAAAAGATAATGTGAGGGTAGACCTACCAGCGACCTAAGACCCTGTAAAAGATAACGTGAGGGTAAGACCTACGGGCGACCTATGACCCTAAAAAAGATAACGCTAGGGTAAGACCTACGGGTGACCTACGACCCTAAAAAAGATAACGTGAGGGTAAGCCCTATGGGCGACCTGCGACCCAAGAAAAGGTAACATAAGTGTAAGACATATGGACGTCCTATGACCCTAGAAAAAATAATGTGAGGGTAAGACCTATGGGTGACCTATGACCCTAGCAAAGATAACGTGAGGGTAAGACCTACAGGTGACCTAGGACCCTAGAAAACATAACGTTAGGGTAAGACCTACAGGTGACCTAGGACCCTAGAAAAGATAACGTGAGGGTAAAACCTAGGGGCGACCCATGACCCAAGAAATGATAACATGAGGGTAAGACCTACGGGCGACCTATAACCCTAGAAAATATAACGTGAGGGTAAGACCTATGGGCGACCTACAACCCAAGAGAAGATAACGTGAGGG